AAAAGATGGAGCCCATGGGCATGCTGGGAAGTCAGTCCATCTGAAAAAGTGAATTACAGGTTAAGCGAGAGAATCTATCTCCAAAGACAAAGTGAAAAGCTATAGAGATAGACACCTGACCTTGACCTCTGGCCTCCATATGGCAGACAATGACGGCACACCATATTCACCAAGAAAGAAAGAAAAAGAGAGAAAGAGAGGAAGGCAGGAAGGCAGAAAGGAACGCACATATGCACACCTGGAGGGTAATATTTACAACACACACGTCCAATAAAGGGCTGACATCTACAATATATAAAGAAGTTTTGGGGATCAACAAGAAGGGCGTAGAAAAGCTGGGAACACGGTTCAGTGGCAAAGCACTCACTTGGCATACACGAAGTCTTGGGTTTGGGCCCAGGACCATAAAAAGGAGAGAAAAAAAAGGCAAATACTTGCTTCAACAGGGAAAGAAAACATGAAAGGCTTAAGGAGAAACTTCATGAAAGAGCATCTCTGAGTGGCTAGCAAATACCTTGAGAGTACACTCAACCTTGTGACCTCAAGGAAGACTTAAAATGACAGGGCCTCATAATGAGATCTCCTTATCCACGATGCTTAACGAGAAGAGAGTCAGGCAAAAGCACGTGCTGGCGAGGATGCGGAGACACCGGGAACCTATACATTGCTGGCCGGAGTAGAAAATGGCATAGAACTTTGGGACGCAATCTTATATTATCTAGAAGTTTAGGACCTTGACCAACAGTTTTGCTCCTAGGCGTCCATCCAAAATGGATGGCAGGATCTGTACAATTCCACTCATGGAATTTGCATAGTATACGTTCATTGGAAGACATCCTAGGACGACCACGGCCTTACTTTACGAGCCAGGGCTCTAGGGACTACCCAAATATCCACAAATAACAGAGCAGACAAATACTTGAATCTCCCCAAGCAGAACCTTAAAAGCAGTGAGCATGCATACATGTTGAGTGACATCAGCCACACTACCTTTGAGAACATTCATCCCAAGTTCAGTAGGAGGGATGGGGGAGGTGGGCTTAGAAGGGCGCAGGGGAAATTCTGAAGTGGCTATGTTCTACGGTGGGTGCTGTGACACTAGCGTGTGCCTGGTCATGCCTTTGTGATTCATATACAGATGTTCTGTAGAACACATTTGGGGGGGTTGGGGCCAGGGCCACTGAGAAAACCAAAACGTCCAGATGTTTAAGTCCCTGGGTGGTATTTGCATATAGCGTTTGCACACCCTCCTATATATTGAAGATAATCGCTAGGTGACTTCTGGTTCCTGATACAATGCAGACGCCATGTTAATAGTGGGACAAGGACTTGTTTAGGGAGCAGCAATAAGAAAAAAAATCATACATGCTTAGTACATATGCACTCTGTGTGTGTGTGCATGATCATGAGGGTGTGTATAGTGCATGTGGATGCCAGATGCCAATGACAACTGTCTTCCACCATCTGTCTGCCCCTTAGCTTTGGAGACAAGGTCTCCCGCTGAACCTGGAGCTAATCCATCCAGCATGCGCTCATTCTCTCTGCTCTCAACTGGATGTGACAAGCTGCTTCCATTTCCTGCTCCCGTAACTGTAGCAAAAACCACTTCTTCCTCGACAGTGCTTCTGCCAGGGTATCCCAGCACTGCAACGGGGAACGAGACCAGGACGGCTGGTTTGCTGGAGCCAGGTCTGGCGGCAGAAGTGATAACAGACACCTGTCCACTTCAGAGCCGGCGCCAGCTCTGCCCATCTACAGGTGTGGCTGCTCAGCTCTATTTAGCAAGTAGTGACTTCCTTTCCCTCAGACACAATTGTGATGTCATTACTGCTATCGTTAGTTTATGAGGTCTGTCATTCCAGGCGAGGTGGCTTAAAGGAGAGAACTGGACTTCCCAGTTCTAGAGGCTGGGAGTCCGCAGAATCCGAGGTCTCGGTGTCGTGGGTTTCTAATGAGGCTGTCTCCTCTGCACGTGGGCACTTGTTCTTCCCTCTACCGTGTCCTTAGGGTCCTGTGCCCTACTATCTTCTTGAGACCACCAGTCACATTGAATCGGGGCCCGCTCTTGTGGCCTCAGCTTAACTTATCCCTTTAAAGTTCTTATTTCTAAGCCCAATCACATTGTGAGGTCCTGGGAGTTGGAGCTTTAGTGTGTGAAGGGTGAGGGTGAGGTGGGGCATAGCTTAGGCCATAATAGCCTGCTTGACTTCCTTTGGTGGAAATACTTTACTACATAGGGACACCAGCAAGACTGGGCTTGGGAAGAAGTTCTCCAGGCTGAAGAGGGAGCTGCTGAGTCTAAAGTGGTCTCTTTGTCGTCTGTGTGACTTGCCAGGCACACACACTGACCTGGGCAGTCCCTGGGAGAAGGAAGGGGGCTGAGGTGCACAGTCACCTGGATGGTGTTGACTGTATAAACTGAACACTGTAAAGAGGTCACATTATTGACAAGACTCTTGGGCGCCGAACAAAAATTAAGAAACTCACTGTGCCATGCACCAACAGCTGTGCTGTAGGCAGAAGCACCTGCAAATGTAGATGATTTTGGAAAGACATACATGGGTACCATTTTCACTAAATAAGTGTTAGGAGTGTATGTGTCTGTAGGTGCATGTCATGTGTGTTTGTAGGTATGTATATGTACATATCTATGCTGTCTGTGTACACGTGTTGTATGTGGGTGTGTCTGTATGTAAGACTCACATGTTCAATACCGCCTGTATTTTGCTGGGGTCAGATCCAGATTTAGGAGTTCATTTCTGAGGCAGGAGAAGTTAAGGGTGCATGGGAAAGGAAAGGGGGCCTCATTCCAGGGTCTCTTTGATATCTTCTACCTGCTAAAAGTTGAAATTTTCTATACAGCTAATAACATGGGTTAGCATAAGATTGTCTCTGTAGAAATAATATTTCTTTTATGTAGAGATATTTGAAATAAAAATGTTAAAATAGCAGCAGACCACGCTTACGGACTAAGAGTAGATGCCCTTTGAGTATGACCTTCTCCTTTCCCAGATATTAACCTACCATTTCTGGAAATGTATAAACATGACTGAAAGATTCGTTACAGTAAAAGTGTCTTAGCTTCCTTGTGCAAACCTCATGACCCGTGGTTTTCCCTGAGCAGTCTGGAATCCCATCCAGACTCAGAAGCTGCCCTGTGAGCTCACTGAAGAAAACAGAGGAAATGGGGGAAGAGTCACTTAGAAACCCTTTCAGTAATGTGACTTCAAAAGCCACCAAAATGTGACTCTTGAGCGGCCCACACTCGGGTGTGTGCTATGCTTTCCATAAGCCTGCTTTGTCGGGGAGATCTTGGAGGGTGCCTCCGCAGAGGGATCATCACACTTGACTGACTGTTGACATCCTATCTAGTACCTTCCCTAAACTGCTGAACTCCTAACAAGGAACAACCCCTAGGTAGGGCGGGACCATAGGATTAATTTCGTAATGGCGGCTGTATATTCTTCTACTAATCTGTTAACCTCAGAGACCCCCACACACACCCTTAAACTCAGAGACCCTCCCCTCTAAAGTCTATAAGCATAAGGAATCACATTTTTCTCCCCATTGCTGTAGGATCTCCTGTCCCAACTCCCCCCACAGCATTATTTAAGGAGCTAAAGTCCCCCTCAGCATATCTCTCTATCAAACGTGGAAAAAATCCTTATTATTCAAGACATTCTCCCTAACACTCATGTTTATCCTGTGTCTAGAACCTCTTCTTAGTAAACTGAACCTCTGCTTCATATTCATCTGCTTTAAATTCTTTTCTGGGACATTGTCAAGAATCTTAGTGTCACCTAAGTAGAGATCTCTGAAAAGAACTCAGGCTGGGGTTTGGAGATGGTTCAGTGGGTAAGAGCATTTACTGTACAAACAGGAGGACATGAGTTTGAAGCCATAGCACCCACACTGAAAGCTAGGCATAACTATGAGGGCCGGTAAGCCTAACTCTGGGAGTGTAGGGGCAGGGGGAGCCCAACAACTCCCTTGGCGGCCTGCCTAGCTGCAAAGGAGACCTTGTTCTTTGAGGGATCCTGTCTCAAGGCAATAAGGCAAAAAACGATAGAGAAAGACCTACAGAACTCTGCTCTGGCCCCCACATTCATCCATATGGTTGCACACACCCGCATGCTCACATGCGTGTGCCCTCCCTACTTCCTCCCACTAATGCACTCAGAGCTGTGTGGAACTCTTTCCTGCTACTGCTGCTTTGTATCTCCACACTGAGATGTGACCAGATTGTTCCCGTTAGATGTGTCCAAGACTGGCCAACTAGATCCCCTATGGGGAGCATAGATCTGACCCCCAGGATCCCAACCCATTGTATAGAGGTGTAATCTTGAGACTTGGGGCAGTCATTGTCTAGGAAGGGTCTGTGCAGCCCTCTGCACGGGGACTGTAGGGGTTGGCAGAGACTTTACAAAAATGACACTGGACCCTGGATTTTGGGAACACCCAGGATACCATTCCCAGAAGCTACCACACCGTGCCCTGAACATTTTGGAAGTCCAACAGAGCTTCTTTGTCCCAGGTTCCTCTTTGCCTAAATAGCCAGCTAGAACCCATTACTTGCAGAAGACCTAAATCAGGCCTGGTGGTTTCAGCAGAACCTCTCATGCTGTAGGTAATCTGAAACAGGAGGAGCTCTCTGAGGCCGGCTTTCCACCTAGAAAGGTGACTGATTGTCCTTTCCAGGTTTTTAATTATGTCCTGGGTCTCTTGACTGGAACTCCAGCATTCCCTGTCAATGTAGGACTCTGCAGAATGACCCTGTCTCACTTGCTGGAGTCCCCGGCAACCTCATCTTCATAATGCTATCTCCCCCACTAGCTTCCAGAACCCTCCCTCCCCGCCCCCTTATCACGCCTTGGCTGGGCACCTGACAAGGCTCACTCACTCCTTCTCTGTTCTGACCACAGTTACCTTCCCTTCCCCCACCCCAAGTTCTGCCCACACAGCTGGCTAGCACAACCTATCACAGCCATTGTTCCCTTACTGGCCTCAAAGGAGCTCCCTCCACCTTGCCTCCTCCCACAGCTAGCCCTGCTGGAGCCTGGTCTCTGGGGTCGGTCCTCGGTGCACCTGTGAACAGTCTTTTCCCTATGTCATCCTCGCAGATCAGATGTGGAGAGGCGTGCCCCGCCTACTCTTGGCATCTCCCCAGGGCTGCGCACTCTGCATAACCCAAAGCTAGGGTTCCGCAAATGCTGGTTGAAGTGAAACCCACTGTGGTCGCTCATCTCTCTTCTTGTTCCCACGCTTAGCTCCCAGTCTTAAGTAGGGACCTGTAGGAGCCAGGAAATTGAAGAGTCAGTTCAGAGGCAGGGGGTGAACCAGCCCTGGCGTTGTCACCCATCTGACCAGTACTGAAGCTTCCCAATGGCCCTCCCTTGCCTCCTTCTTGTGTTTCCTTCTGTGGGCGTCTTACAGAGAGGCACAGGCATAACTTGCTCAGCCTTGGATCTAGAGGACAAACTCTGATGGGAACACCTAGAAAAGGTTATTTTGCTCCGGAGAAAGGTGCGAAAGAGGGGCAGGGAGATCCGGTGCTGAGAGTGTGGGTTTCACGGGCACATGCACATACACTTGTGCACACACAGAGATAACACACAGGCGCACACACAAAAACAGAGGGAATGTCTCTAGAGAGTCCATCCAGTGGATCCTCGGGCTGCCAACAGACCCCTCTCTCTGTCCTGTACTGGGCACTGGGGAGGGGATCACAGGGAGAGATGTTTCTGCATGTATTGAGTATAATATGCAGGCACGGAGTATGCGGAGTGTCAAATAGGATAGAGGACGCACATTGGTAAGTGTGGACAGTCACCCTGCTACGGATAACTGGCCATGCAGACTTCAGCCTCATTCTCCTGATGGGACCTTTGTCTGGTAGAGTCTAAGTCTCCTGCCTTCTCCCCTGCCCTTTGCAGGCTCTGAGCCAGGCACAATGGCAAAGTGGCTACCGAGGGCTGACGTGGAAGCAGAGGAAACAACTTGGTGAGCTGAGCCACTCTTGGGAAGGGTAGTCTTGTTCTCAAGGCTGCTGGGCACAAGGAAGTAGGAGGGCCAGAGGAAGCTAACCCTACTCTCTATCTGCTCTACAAGGGCTTCCAGGGCCCATGCAGTCATGGCTGTAAGAAAGCAGAGGCCATCTCTGGGGAATCAGGCGCCTGTGCTCACAATGACTCCACTTAAACCGTCTTGGCACATCTCTGCGCCTTCCTTGTGATGCAGTAGCCTGTCCCACCGTCAAGGAGGGAGAAGATACTTACTTACACCAGGAAAACGGCGTATTCTCTAGCTGTCCATGGTGAGGGTCACTGTTCTCCCCAAGAATTCTGCAGAAGGTTGAAGAAGCTGAGAGCCCAGCTCCCAGCCCCTGGGACTGTGGGCCATCATGTCTGTGAGCAGAATATGACTGCAGCTGGACAGAGCAGGGACTGATGGGAAATAGGAGAGCCTGGGACCTGGAGATACTCTTGAGGCAACCCGTTGGGATGGCAGCAGCAGCGAGTACATGGAAATGCCCATGTCCCAAGGGAGGAGCATGCTCTCTTCTGAGTTTGGGAAGTCTCTGGTACCCTTCGACAGTGTCACCGTGGCCTTGTAGGATCAGGCAGAGTCCTGCCTCGCTCTATTGTTCGCTCCCAACCTAGAACGAGTTCCTAGAATTACCAGGTGATCACCTGGCACTTGCCAGGGACTTCCTGGGAGACCCTGGGAAGAGAGACAGAGAGTCAGCTCTGGCTGCTTTGGGGTAGGAGTTAAGAGATCCAAGAAGTGAAACTAGGACAGGCTGACTTCCAGGAAGCTGGGACATTGTGACACTTCAACCAAGTCACTGGCGAGCAGGCGTTGGCCCCGGGGACCTCCCCATGTGAAATGCTTGTGTGTGCAGTAGACGATAAAGTTGTTGTTGGCTCTGTAGTGCCATCCTAATCTTATGAGAACACTCCTCGGCCAGGCTGCTCCTTCTCTCCTGGGAAACACGGGAGCTCCTCACAGCTGTGTGGGTTCATGGGCTCAGTCATAGCCCAAGGAGTACTTGGGCTAGTGAGAAGAGTAGGACCCTGCCTGGGTCCCCTGGTCCCTCCACGGATGACTGCACACGGACACTGAGAGGTGCTTTCTTCGGTTGCTGTGCCGAGAAATGAAACCTTGCATAACCCCGTGAAACCACAAGAGAAAAACACGCAAGGCCACTGCATGCAGCTGGGCCCTGGGGCTCCGCCTCCCTGCTGTTGTCAGGCAGGGGAGACAGGCAGGTTTGTGCTACGCAGAAGGAAAAACTTTACTGCAGGGGCATGTTTCAAGGCCCCCGAAGACCCACCTCTGTCATGAACGGTGACAGTTACTTAAGGGCCATGGGATCTGGGCTGTTTGACATTCCGTCCTGGTCCCTGAGGAAAACTTAGCCGGGCTGAGCGGCACACTTTCTGGGGCCCTTCCTCACCCAGAACTGGGCACAGATGAACGCTGTGTCCCTTCACTGTGCGTCTCTGAGGGGCTCCCTATGTGAGGGCCCAGGCTCCCAGCTGCCAGAGCAGACATGCCAGGGCAGGTGTGTGGGGCTGTTACCATGAAAATGGCACTCTAGGCTCCAGGGGTCTAGAAAGAGCTCTTGACTTTGCAGGGTATGTTTTAAGCCAGGTGTTTGGGGGTCAAGACAGACAGAGGGGGATGGTTCTAGACTGGTATGAGGTGTGTCGTCCTTTATCCTGGGTGCACAGGTCTTTGCTGGGGACACCCCAAACATTAAGTTACTAGCCAAAGGCCCAGGCACACAGGTACAAACAGATATACATATGCAAACACAACCACACACATAAACAGACACGTGGATGCATGCTCGCACGTGTGTGCATGCGCACCTCTCCGCCCCCCCCCCCCGCCCCCACGTCTTCCCAGAGTTCTGCCCAGGCCTCCTTTCACAAGCTCTCACTCTGTGTGTTCTATCTTTTATGTCACAGACATACAACCTTTTCAGTCTCTGACGTGCCCTCGAGAGTGGTGGCCCCGAGATTCCTGGCCCAGGCCTGAAGTGAAGGACTCTTGATCTCTCCTCTCCTCCCATCCTCCTTGCTCCCTGCTGGGAAGCTGGAGGCTCTGAGGACCTGGCTGCCAGCCCCATTACAGGCCTAGGCAGGTGATACCCCTGCCAGGAGAAGCTCAACAGACGCTTGCCCTGTGGCAGATGGGCCCTGAGGGCGAGGAGCTCCTGAGGGCTCAGCAACTGCTGAACAAGCTTTCTCCTAGCAAGTAAAGGCTGGGGGTGGGGGAAACAGATGGTTAGAGTGGTAAGGTAAAGATGTCTCCCTGGGAGTCCTTCACAGAATGTAGAGGCGTGAGTAAGGCTCACCTGAACACCTGTGGCCTTCACCAGGAGAGTCCAAATGGAAGAAGGGCACAGATAGGGATCAACCTTCACTGAGACGGTGCCCAGTAACAAGGAGGAAGATGTTGGCCAGTGTTGGTCTCTTGCCTCTTGATACTACCGTAATAAGCACAGCGGGGGCGGGGACTGAACTGAGCAGGAACTAAGGAAGAAGATGCTTCACAAGCCAGGGAAACAGGCTGAGGAGCACTCAGGTGGGTTGCCCCATGATGAGACCCTGGGGATGGACTCTGTCCTCACCTCTGATGTCACACATCAGTTGGGCACACTTGTGCGGCACAGCGTGATATTATCCCATGATACAATGTACAGTGAACAAAACATAGCAAGTGGTCAAGCACCACCTCACACATTCCCAGCAACCAAGACACGTAGCTAGCCTGGGTCTCCACGGCCCTACAAAGAGAATGTAGTGTGTGTACGCAGCAGACTACTCTCCAGCCATAGCAAGGAATGAGATCCTGCTGCTTCAACACGGACAGAACTGGAGGTCATTATGATGAATGAAATCAGCCAGACACTGAGAGAGACAAAGGCTACAAGCACTCACTCAGATATAGAATATTAAAAAAAAAAAGCAATTTCAAAGAAACAGAGAGCAGAGCCACGGCTATCAGAAGCTGGGAAGGGAGGGTGAGTAATAGAATACTGTCAAGCAGGAGGAATAAGTTCTGGCGTCCTGGGGCACAATAGAAAGATGTGACAACTAGTGTTGTCATCCCGACATAATCTGAAGTTATCTTAGGGGCAGGCCTTTTTGGCCTACCTGTGAGAGGTTATCTTGATGGCATTAACTGATACGGGCCCACTATGAGCGGGCCCCATTCCCTGGCTGAGATCCTGGACTGCGTAATTGGAGAAAAAAAGAAATGCATACATCTTTGTTGTCCGCTCTCGATCATGGATGTCATGTGACCAACTGCTTCAAGTCCCTGCCACCTTGATTTCCTGGCCGTCTAAGACTATTTGCTTGAACTGTGAGCTGGAACAAACCTGGCTTCTGTCAGGAGATGTTATCAGAGTAACAGGAAAAGGAACTAAGACAGAGGCTACGCTCTACGACAGGGTATTCTATATCTCTTCCGTCTGTGGACAGGAGGCTATAGCAAGGGACTCGTCCTTCCTAAAGGGCCTTAGGAGGACTAGTTTTAACAGGGCAGCACAGTAAACTCTGGCAATGTTAAGCTTCCTCAGCTGAATACTTAGAGTCTCCACTCTATCCTAGGAATGTAGCCTTGAACTTTTAATAGTTATACTAATTTTTTCAACTTTTTCTTTTTAAGACAGGGTTTCTCTGTGTAGCCCTGTCTATCCTGGAACTCCCTCTATATATCTGGCTGGCCTCAGACTCACAGGTATCCTCCTGCCTCTGCCTGCTGAGTGTTAGAATTAAAGGTGTGTACCAACACGCATGACTTTTTTTAAACATTTTTTAATGAATGGAAAGGCGAAGAGGCAGATAAATTCTTTTCTGCTAAGAATCTAAGTCTTTATAAGTCAAGGCTGAAGCTTTGGTGGGGGAAGGGCTGAGAGGATCTCAAATGAGTTGATAAAGAGTAGTCCCTGTCAGCTTTCTGCTATCAGAAGCTCCTACCACACCCCTCCAAGCTGCCTGGTTACTTGCCATCCTCTGGCCACCACTGTCCCCGTGTAGCCTTGCTGCAAATGCATAGGAGCGTATGGTGGTCAGGGAAGCGCAAAGAACAGTACTCAGTCACAAGTCAAATATATCAGACAACTGCCCAGCCACTGGAGCTCAGATCCTGACATCCGGTCGTAAGTCGAAGAAATATCACATTTACCCTTTACCACAACCTTGCCCACTTTCTTGGCTCCCCAGGCTCCCTGTCTATGCCCTGGGTAACTGAGGCAGATCTCTCCCGGGAGTGTGTTAGCTACAGCAGAGGTTAGGCCCCTTTGTCTTGCCCGTGCAAACCTTCTCTCTTTCTGCTTCTGCCACTCACAAAGCATCAGGAGGCCATCTCCAGCCACGGCCATGTGACCTTGAATTGTCCAGCCTCAGAGTCCGTGAACCTAAACTCTTTCTATATCTTGCATCAGACAGTCCTTAGAAAATGAACTCACCGCTTGGTCAAGATTGAGAGTCATGTTGACGGTTTACCGGGGAGGTGGAAACGGGCCTAAAACCATATGGTGGCCCAGCCGACTAAGGCAGACCTGAGTCAAATCAGTGTTTACACTCCAGCCACAAGACTAAGGGAGAAAAATAAGCAAGATGGTTCTAGAAGAAAGGCTGAAGACTTCATCACCACAGGGCTGGACATGTGAACTTACCCACCCTGAGATGCTCTATTCCATGTACCTAAATTTGGCATTTGTAGTGGCCAAGAGACAAAAGACAAACTAAACTAAACAACTAAAAACCTCTGGACACCCTGCCCAACCTCCTCCTGGCTCCCTTCCTCTTTGCCATTTGTGAGAAGTAAACTACACCTCTGCTTCCCCAGGCTAGTGTCTGGCACAGAGCCACAAATACCAATACAGTGACCCCCTGGGTTGCAAAATCTCGACTGGGAGGCCCAAATGTAATCCAGGTTGGCTGGAAACAAAGGAACAGGAGGGCACTCCCTGGGTGGCCTGGCCTATTAGGGAGGCTCTTGGTGGCCCAAGTTCTCCATCCCAGCTCTGACCTCCTTGGCTTTAGTTTCAGAGACCTCAAGTACAAAGGAAAACTGATACTGTCACCTCATACGGCCAGTCTGAAGTGTGAAATGGCACATGGCCCTGGCAGAGACTCGGGGAGTGGTAGGTGTAGCCTCAAGTCTGCATCAGTGACACCGTTCCTGAACCCACTGGGCGTGGGCTTGCTTGCCAATGCAGGAAGCAGCGAGCATCACAGGGAAGGCAGGGCAGTGGGGTCTCCACTCGGTGGCAGGTGATCCTTTTGGCAGAGGTCTGGCGGGACCATCTGGTGAGAGGCCTGGGTATCAGGCTAAATATGAACTCGGAGGGAAAGAGAAGCGGTCAGGGGTCCTCTGCTATTGGCAATTAAAGAATAAATAAAAGAGAGAGAGAGAGAGAGAGAGAGAGAGAGAGAGAGAGAGAGAGAGAGAGAGGAGAAAAGAGAGACAGAGAGAGAACCTTAAACTTAAACTATGGTGCTTAGGAAAGGGTGGGCTTGGTTCCAGAGCCCTGGAAGCCTATTGGATATCACTGGACTTCAGGTTTGGCTAGGTTAATCCCTCACATCCTGTTCTCCAAGACTCCTCCCTCCCTGGCCCAGACTCCCACCTCACAAGGGTGATTTCCACAGAAGCCCCCAGGCATCCAACGTGGCCTGTCTCTGCAGGTGGACGAGCCTGGTTCCACCTGCACGTGGGCCAAGCGGGGCTGCGCCTTGGCCAGGAAGCTGCCCAGGAGGAGCTGGCCACCCTGTTCAGGATGACGAAAAGAGGCTATTTTGGGTTGAAATCCAGGTTGTGTGGATGCTGTCTACAAAGAGCTTCTGCCTGTAGCCTGGGGGAAACCACCTGCCCTGCAGAGTAGGCTAAACACCCCCAACACACTTCACACTCAAGCCCCTTGCAGCTCTGACGGAGCCTGTCCGGGACCAACCATTCCAACTTCCTCATCTGCCTGGCTTGGTCCCTGTTGTCATGGGGTCTGAGCAATCTGCTTCTCCTCGCAAAACCAAAAGGGAGGGTGGGAAGTTTAATCTCATCTTGGAAATGCAGAGGTCTTGTCTTACAGAAATGGTAAGTGGGGTACTCAAGAGCAGCCGGGATGGGGTACAAGGGGTGCAGGGATGGCAGCCCTGGTTCCACATGGTCTTCTCTAGTAGAGACCATGGGGACTCTGCCTTCCCTACTCGAGTCTGCTCAGACTGGCCCAGTCCTGAAGGTCTCTAGATGTTCCTGATACCTCTGTGCATGGACACCCAAGGAATTGGAAAAAATCGCAGTCCCTTTAGGGAGGCCTAGTTTCACTGCTCATATACTCACCATGAGGTGGCTCATCTGCCCTCAGAGCCCACCTCTCCTTCAGCCTGGATGCTTGGCCTGAGAACTGGCATGGGGCCAGGAATCAACCGAGGGCTCATGACTTAGGGCGTGGGTGCTCCCAGCGTCCTTGCTATCCATTCAGAGTATGAATTATTACAGTTGGGCACTGCCTAAACTGCCTCCCCACCAGCCCTCCTCTCTGGATGGTGGCCCCAGCTGTTAGCCAGCTGGCCACTCACTGAGATAATTGCAGCCACCTTGCTTCTGACAGTAAAGTGTCACCACCTGTCAACTAGTCTATAGCGATGCTGTCATCCTCCCCGTTGCTATGGAAGTCCCCAGAGCAGCTTTACTGTCACCCCGGCTCTCAAAAAGCAGTCACGCTGAGCTTCCTACAGCACTGTCTCTGTCACCTTAGTAGACGCGGCAGCCATCAGCCTGTGTGGGGGCCCCACACAGCCTTGCTTTTTTTCCCTTGTGCTTCTGGCATTTCTCTGTACCCAGTTTGGGCTCTCCTCTCCCAACTATTCAGAGAGCCATCCCAGAACATGGGCACGATGTCTCCTGAGGTCCCTGCCTGGATAGGAAGGGCCACATCAGGGAGGGGCTGTCTATACGGCTCTGCCCCATATGTACTTCCAGTCTTCCTGGGTCCAGGCATAGGCTTATTGCTCTTCTAGGGCCTATCTGGGCCTGCAAGGGCTACAGCACAGACCCCTTCTTCCTCTTCCGTGACACCTGCTGCAACATGGATGAACCTGCAGATGGTACACGGAGTGAAGTCAACCATGTGACAGAGGACACGCCCTGATAGCTCTGCCCATCCAAGGTGTCCAGTGCCATCAGTTTCATGGAGAGGTGGGAAAAGGTTGCTGTCAAAGGCAGGGGAGGAAAAGTTGGGGAGCCGATGCTTAACCAGACAGAGTTTCAGTTTTGCAAGATGATAAGACTTCTGTGGTTGGGTGGTGTGCTAGATAGTTTTATGTCGCCTTGACCCAAGTGACAGTCATCTGAGAGGAGGGAGCCTCAACTGGGAAAACCCCTCCCTAAGATTGGGCTATAGGCAAGCTTGCAGGGCATTTTCTTAACTAGTGATTGATAGGCAAGGGCCCAGCCC